ACAACAGCAAGCGTGAAACAATGTCCCAGATGAAAGGCGACGGTAAAGAAAGCACTCGTGATGTGGATGTCAGAAGAAACCTTGGATTCATTTTATTTCAACCTGCTCCAAGTCTTCCCTTAGTCTCGCAGGACAAGTCGGGCCACTGAAAACTCACCACAAATCAAAATAAAACCCGAGGTTTCCCCCCCGAACATTATGAACATTCAAATGATCAACGGACCGATTAAAAATCCTTGTTCGCTCACATCGAAGCGCTCCTCGACCAAGTCCGACCCCACCCTCTCTCACAAGCACTCTCCTGTCAATAAAACATAACATCAATCACGGGTAACTGGAAACCTGGTGCAACACACAACGCCAAAAAACAAGCGAGACAAATGTTTTTCGCGAATTGAAAAATACCCAGCTGACCGGCGGAAAAAAAAAAATTACATCTCATTCTCCGACATGCTTCCGTTTACCCTCACCGGTGTCTAATCCACTGATTCTCGAGGGTCATTACAAAATAAAATGAAGCTTGATTTGATTGATTTCGGAAATGATCAAATTCCTTTAAATTAAAAACGCGAAGAAATTTTGCCTATGGCAATCAATCTTGCCATCTCCACTACTCTCTTAAAAAAAAAACATTAAAAAAGCGCGCACGAAGACATGAGTTGAAGCGCAACTCATAAGAGATTAACCGAAAAACCCAAGTTCCTCCGGAATTCAAACATTGCAGTAAAAAAAAAAGAAAAAGCTGAGATTGATTGCACGATTATTAGGACTTTCAATTGAATTGAGGGTTTGTTGGTGCGTACAGCGGTCACCAACAACGCGAAATGTTTTCGCCCCGTTCACCTCTCCAGGTGAAGCTGCTTTTAAATGCGAATTAGGATCGGCTGACGAGCTTTTCCGCACACTGAAGAAAGCCTTATTGGGCAGTTTTCTTCTCATAATTCAGTTCTACATCAAGGCTGCTTGATAATTGTTCCGCTCAATACTCACAAGCCTGTGCTGTTCCAACCATTGTATTCACACAAAAAAAAAGCTCCGAATTTCAGAACCTCAAGAGCTGGGATTGAAACAAATGTACATTGAAGCATTGTTTCGTTTCCATCAGGAATCAACACGATTAGGGAACATACCCATTAACGGACCAAAAACCAGACTTCCGGGATGATCACAAAATACACAAAAATCCACACCTAAACTAGGTCTTAAAGATTCAAATCGGCTTTATTACACGTGAACATTGAAGATTTCAACGCTAAGCTCTAATGGTACTGGACTACTCAGAACGTACATAAAAATGATACTTCGTTATCTTTCACGATGAAAAGTATTTTTCTCTTTCTGCGACCTTGGAGCATCGGTAACTAATATTTCCAAGACATGAGTTCAGTGCAACCACTACGTCAAAAAGATGGTATTGGAAATAACAAGTACAATGGTCAGCACGAGATCTGAAAGGAAGAAAGAATCAACAGACATTTTTTTCTGATGTTCAGTACCACTTTCAAAACTGGTGCGCACATTGTCTCAATCACCTGGCGAATAAAATTGACAGCTTGCTCTCATTCCATGATGAAATTTTCGCACCTAGATTTTTGTCGATTGTTCTCAGATCGTCTGATGGACTGCGTACACAAACGGGTAAATGTCATTCGGATTGACCCACTGCTATGGATCAGAAATAATGCATTTTCGAGAGAGCGGCTCTCGTTCAAAGAAAATCACTGAATGCATCCATGTCACCTCACTGAAAACTATGCAACTATTTTCCAAGCCCCTCCTGAGTCATTTCCTGAATATCTTTCCAACAACTAAACAAAAGCTGGGATAAAGAGGAATGAACTGCACTTGGAGAACCTTTCATCAAGATAGCCAGCAGTTGTATAAAAAAAAAGTCTAGTTTCTCTTTTCTTGGATCTTTCCCGCCAGCAGGATATAGCAACATGGGGGAAATACTGTGACGCAAACCCAGCAAGTGCAAGGTGCATTGTTCCAGGAATCAAACTTCAACGGTTATGGGGCCTCAACCAACAAGTTTCCTGAATCCATTGTTCATTGACATGAAAGATTCCGCTGTTACCAAATCCAGACATTTGGATGGGGGAATAGTGCAATGATCTGTTGCTTGATCCGTTGATTTGATACAGGATTCACAATACACAATAAAACCAGCGTTCGGGAATCGAATACCCCGAGGCTTTCTGCGTCTCCAAGTCATTTGTGGACAAGCATCCGAGGAGAAAACTTATCCCACCAAGCACGAGATCTGTGATTTTCAGTGAAAAAGTGAAGAAAAAAAAAATCATGGAATTTTAGCAAGTACCATCGCTACAACAAAATTTGGTTTCCTACATGCGGGTGCGGCTTGACGGAGAGAAACCCCAGTGACGTGTTCTTGTCGGGAGTTCAATCTTCTAAAATTCATTCCTGGATATTAATGAAGATTCCAAATTTCAAGTTTCAGAAATGTTTCCTTCAACTAAACTGATGTGGATAAGCATTCTGAGCTTCCTGTTTGTTCTCGGATTCAACGAAGTTACATCGAGAAACATACAGATGCAACCAACAAGTGCTTTCTTTGCGCGAGGAGCGAGGCACAGACAACTCCAACAGTAAGAATGTTTCTCTTTGAATCTAACATAAATCTTGGAACGTAATTTTTCAACAAATCGAACAGTATTTTGCGGTAAATTCCGGCTAGGAGAGGACTAAAGACAGTGATGAAGTCATACTTCAAAAAAAAATAAATAATAATGATGTAAATCCCACTCAAAACGGATTTCTTTTAACAAAAGCGGGATTCAACAGCATAAAAACTCAATTGAGGAATTAAAACACTTTCCTTGCTCGAAGTTTTTGTGGCTATAATGCTATCTGTTGATCGCAGCTTAATTTACCGATATTGTTTTTGATCAAGGGAGAATGGCCAAAGAGGGAGAGCACTGCCGCAGCAAGAAACAACAACAGAGCATGCAGTTTCGGAACAAACGTCAGTGGCTGAAGAAGAAAATTACGACGAGGAACGATGCTACTGCAAGCCGATCCAAGCAGCTTGCAAAAATCCCGTCGAGAGCCATGATCGAGTAAAACATTCAAGTTGAAATTCTCCAGCAAAATTTTAAAATGAATAATTTTTTTAAAGGTTGGTTGCGACAGTGATTTTGTTCTATGCTGCGAAAACGTTGCTGACGAAGAGCCAGCCACAGAGGAAGCAAGCGAGCCACAAGCACAAATCCAACTTCAAGGAAACCATTTGGGACAACTTCCGCAGTATCAAGCGACACGATTCCCACAGCAACACCTGCAGCCACAATTCAACGGATTTTCTTTCGGCTTGTTGCCCAGAGGATTGAATGAAATTGCTCTTCTGCACGGGTCACAGCAACAACATAATTTTGGCTACCCGACTTATTATCCTAATGATCAGGATTCGAACCGGAGGAATATCGGGACACAGGGCACAACAGGGTTTGATGACACCATTGCTTACAGCAACCAAAATCTTTTAAGTCTGGCTGGTGTACCGAATTATCAACAACTCAGTTACCAGCAAGCTCTTCTAAACAATGCTTTGCTACAGCAAAGAAGGCAGCAACTTGGGTACTTCGGAGGACTCAACTTGGGTTATCAAGGTTTAGGTGAGTCAATTAATCAGCGCTAGTTTCAAAAATTGTAAAAATTTAAAACTTGTTAGTGAATCTGCAACAACGAAGAACAGATTTTACAGAATCGTATCAAGCTTGAATTTAATCTTAATTCCCGGATAAAATTTACTTTCAGGCCTTGGATTACCAACAAATTTGCTTGGTGCTCAGCAACTGAATCCTGGGTTTAGTCAGTTCCCACAACTTCAGCAACTCCCCGGTAAAAATTGCAACTGAGTAACTGATTTTGTTTGAACAGACAATTAAGGGTTTCATGTTACGTCTTACAGGTTATTCAGCGAACTTCGATCAGGGAGGTCAGCAGTTTGAACAAACCCCTCAGCAAGGATTCCAAGGTAATTCCTACCAGTTGCAGCAAAATTCATCACCAACCAGGAATTTCCAGAACATATTTCAAGAAACGCAGCCACAGCAAAGACCCGATCCTTTTGCTATAACAAACAGCAATGTCCAGGGAGCAAATCAAAGAAATTTTCCCGGATTGAGAAATGGGCATTTTGGATTCTCAGCACGTCAAATCCCACAGACCCTATTCCGCGGGGGTTACGGAAGTTTCAGTCTCCCTCAAGTCCAGCAAAAAGATGGAGGCTTTGAGGACAAAGAAGCTTGAATGTGGACTTTTTTATGGAACAAAATTGTTGAATGAAAATTACTTCTGCGTTGTTGCCTTCTTTGGAAATAAAACCAAAATTTGATGATTTCAAGATGCACCAACTCTGCTCGCAGGTGTTGCTTCCTCTGGTTTCAAGAAAGTCTAAGCTGAATCTAAAACGCGATACCGCTACAGTCGTTCAGTTTCTCAAGTCATACTTGCATTGTTCAAGTTTTCAAACAAAATGGATGCATTCAGTGATCTTTAAAAACTCCGCATATTTCGATTCTCGCTGATATACCCGTGCGTACGCAGTCTCGATGAACAACTTCCAGGCTTGAGAACAGCTTTCTATTCGTACGGTAACAATTAATCCATTATATTAGAGAACTACTACGAAATTTTGTAATACAGTACTCGAAGTGAAAGTTTGCTGCATTGAAGTTCCAATTTTTTTGCCTCCACCATGAAGAAAAAGCTGATTTTAATGCAATGTAAGAAGGTTGGAATTTCACGATTATTGCGACTGTAGTCCACTTAAATATGGGCGAAGAATTTCCTTGACCAACTAAAACGTGGCACGACATTTAATCATGTCAAACCTCGCCATCGAAAAATTCAATAATGAAATTTAAGACGTTCATTCAAAGAAATTCTTTCAACTTCCTGTGAATATAAACTCAAGAAACTTCGTTAAATGCAAATCGCTAGCTCACTGATCTTAACAACTCTGCACAAACTCATTCTGCCAGTAATTGGTTTTTGGTGAAACAACTCATTGAAACTTGCAATGCTCTTGAATTTTTCCCTCCCGCTCGACGCGCTTCATTTCGGACCAGTTTTAAAAAGTTCACGCTTTTCCTGCGCCGATCGCTTCGGGCTTTTCGGATCTGAGTCCATTGCCGTCGTCGATGACGACGAACTCGCATCCGTCGACCCTTTCCGCGCAACATCCATCCGTAAAGTGCTGCACGAGCTTCCTCCAGACTCAGTGTCGCTGTCACTCGTACTGGTGCTGTCGGGCTTCTCGTCGCCAGGTTTCTTTTCCGACGACGACTGCGGAGTAAGAGACGAGGCACGCGAACACACGGAGCTGGGAGGAGACTGCGCAGTAACAAGAACTGTTGGTAAAGGTTGCGGCTGCGGTTGTATCCTCGGATTCAATGAGGAAGAAGAAGAAGACGACGACGAAGAGTTCAGAGCGAGAGGCGATGGCGGCGCCCGCCGTAACAACGGAGACGAGCCGCCATGCGGTGGGCTGACACAGCCGCCGTGACCAGGCTCAGCAGACTTCGGTCGCGTGAACGTTTTCTTTGCGGACACTGGCGCCAGAGACACGCTGGAGCCCGGACTGAAAGACTGGACCGACTGCTGGAACGGCATGGCGAGTGGGGATGGACTGCGCGTGTTGGAACAAGCAGTGGCGGCTGTAGGTGAAGGTAATGGTAACGGGGTTGTTGAGCCCGAGGACGGCGGCGAGTGGTGCAAGAGCTGTGGATTCAACGGCGGTGGGACTTGCTGGACCACAAAGGCGCCCGGACAGCCAGGTACATTGCAGGCACCGAGGGCAGGATTCGGAGATGGAGTGCGGGCCAGTGGAGACAATGGGATGTGGCCCACTGACTTCCGGCGCGATGTGTGCAGAGATTTCTGTAGTTTGTGCTTGAGGCCGTGCAACGACGACGGTCTGTGCAACCGCCTAAAATGCAAAAAATCACCACTCATGTACAAATTCGCCACAACGTACACATACGGTATTACAACTGAGATTCACTCTACATTGAATAATTTCATCCAGCGCCATTGTGCACCAAAATATCCTTCCCACGATTGTTCATCAAGGAAATTTTGCGAACACTCCCAAAGGCACCAATAATTTTTGTCCACACATTTATAACCTTTTACTAATCTTCTCGAAAAACTTTTTACGCATCAAAACACCTGTATTTCACCCGAGTACCACGCGCACATTTTTCTGCAAAAGTAAGGCAGAAAAGTCGGGTGCGCGTGGTATACGGGTACTGTATACATATTTCGAAAAACGAAAATCAGTGGTGCTAGTCATAAGTAAGTCTTTGAAGGATAAAATTATGAACAGGGAATTATAAATGGTACTTATCCCATTACAATGCTTTAAGTTTTTGCTTCGATTACTATCACGTTAAGCTCCAATACTCGAAGAAGAAATGAACACTTTAATCAAGCTAAAACTTGGGTATGCGTCATGCACAGGGATACATTTTTGGGCAACATCTATGCCGAAAAATTGAGGTGCGCGTCGTACTCGACTACATACGGCAGTTGATGATTCAAATTACGTACTACGAATGCAAAAAGATTCGATAGAACAATGCATTGAATTCCCAAATTTTTTCTGACGAGTCAAAATAAAAAGGCAACATATGGCACGGCGAATTCTATAATGGGACCGAGGAGTTGTCATCGGAACAGTGAGTGAACACACAAAAATAAAATAAAATATCGGATAAAAGGAAAATCAATGCAAATACTGTACTGCACCGTGAATTTCACGAATTTTCGGGGAAAAAGGCAAGATGATACGCTGAATTTGGCAGATTCAGCTAAGCAATTTACTTCAAAAGAAGCAATGAAGATGAGCCTACCCGGCAGATGATCCGGACATAGCAGGAGAATTAGGAACCGAGCTCGACGGTGACGAAGAACCACTCGAACCGTCCGAATGCGCGTGGACGTGCGGATGATGCGGCAACGTCGGGTAGCCGTGATTGTGCAGCACGTGTCCACGCTGCATGACCTGATGCGGGCACAAACCCGAAATAACTCCGGGCAATGAATGACATGAACCCGACGCGGACGACGAAGACGACGACGTGGATCCAGCTCCCAAATCTCCAGTGGGTTCCTGAGAAGACATCGATCGTCGCAACGGCAACGTGGATTTAATCAACGACAGCGAAGGCGACGTGCACGCAGTTCCCGTCACGCTCATCTGCTTCCCGGCGAGTGAATCCGCAAAGCGTTCCGAGTTTCGGCGACAGTGGCATTTTTGTTCGATTTTTTTTTCAAACGGCGGGGAGGCCATTTTTTGTACAAGATGGAAAGAAAGATACCATGTATACACCGAGACATAGACAGAAAGAAACCAATCTAACGAAGCCGCGAAACAAAATAGAAACACTGTCGACAACTTCAGCGGCTAATCCTTCCCAGCAACAGCTACTTCAAAATACATTCAGGCCAGATTCCAATAAAACGGGCTGTTTGCTACCGAAAAAGCTCTTGACAAATTTGACCATACGTTATCCATAACACCATAGATCTGAGAATATAAATCACTCGCACATTTTGATGAAAATTGGCCAGCAAAACCGAAACTCATCTAGACACGTGCGTACTCGCGTGATGGGAATTACTATTGTGTAAAGCACAGTAAAAATCTTTCATAACCGCGCTCAAAAATCCTCGCAAAATGCAAAATATTAATCTTTCAAATGAGAAGGAAAAATCTGGACAAAATAATTCTAGACAAAAAAAGCAACTATCGTCGCATTCGCTTTCCCAGTGGATTCGAAGAAAATTGGTTTAAAATATATATACTGTATTTTAGACCGAACAGCACCTGTAAACTAACTAATACGGTACATGCCACACAGAGCGAAACGTAATTCCCGCATGCCTCTGATGTCAAAAATAAGTCGAATACGGATGAAAACTATTCGAAGAACTAGCAAGTTTTGATATCAGCCATCACCAAAAATGAAATCATGCAGAATAAGAACATGGAAAAAACCCTGGAAGGAGAAACGTGCAAAAAAGTTGGAAATCTCAGGTTTCGGGGTTCAAGAGCCAAACTTGCATCGTCAGAGACGAAATGCTTCTGGGGATTCACTCTCCGGCTGAGGCGACTCGACCTTCTCCTCAAAGCAATTTTATTAATTGGAAAAAAGTAAAAGGTTATTAAAAAGTGTGGAACGAGATCCGTTTCCGACCATTCAACCATTACACAAACCCAACCCTGTCCGTAATCATCGTTACAAGTCACCGAAAGCGTTTCTTTTACTATTGAAACTCGACAATTCAAATGAATTTTGAAAAAATAAAATAAAATTCCCGAATGGAAAAAAATTCACGGAATTGCATCAAGATTCCAAATGATAACCGGTGGACGAGGTGAACAGTGTCTTCTCAAAAAAACAGGACTCACTTGACCGATGCATGATCTCATTAAAATGAAATAAATACAATACCTGTGCCACGATTTCTAAAATCATCTGAATTTCGGCAAAGATTAAGCAGAAATTGTCTCACGCGTGTTTTGTTTGAAGAAAAAATAGTGTATGTCGTGAGTGTCGCAAGAGGCTCAGTCCAAGAACAGGCCAAAACGTAGCAAAATTCACGCATTTCCAGTCATTGGTTAAAATGTTTTTTCAAAATAAAATTCCGTACGTATTTGGTGCGAGAGGGTTCAAAAGTAAGGCAAGCGGCTCACACGAAAACTGACGTTCGCAGTTTTAAAATCACGCACCTGGTGGTGAAACTCTGCAGACGCCCGTTTGCTGCTCAATTTTCTCAACAACGACGAACCCTTTCGCGGGCGAGCTTGAGGAACGCCACCTGGTCCAGCTGCAAACCCTTGGGCATGACCAGACATTGGATGCACGTGATGAGGGTGTTGCAGGAGGTGGTGGTGATGCACTCCAACACCCTGGTTCAACAGCTGCGCGGGATGGTGATGATGCATGGTGATTTGCGCCCCTGAAGGTGCGGGTTGTCCGTGAATTGCGTGGAGTGAGTGGGGACCCGAAGTTGCCGCGTGGTGAGGAGAACCTGCAGCGACAACTGACCCATTCCGGCCCGGGGATGTTGCGCGACTGTAGTGACCAAGGAGTCCGGAATTCACGCCGGAAACTGACGAACGCGGGTCTCGACGGCTTCTGTGATGAGTACCCCTGAAAAATAAATACATTAAAATCTCAATACGACAAACTTTTGGGGACTTCAGAAAAGTTTTTGTACAGAATAAATTGTTATAAAATAACAAAATTTTCAAAAGCAATTACTGTACTGGAAAACAATTTTACATTAGAACTGCCTATGATGAATTAGATCTTGCTTTTATTGCATTCTCAGAAGTTTTATTATGGTTTTAAAAACTGAGTGATCTTCTGAAAATATTAGATCCAATGCATTCCATCAGTTTCACCAATTTCTTCATTTTGGTAGGATGATGCGTAGAACCACTTGGAAGCATGATTGTCATTGATTACAGCTTCAATCATCCATGCTACCAGAATCTGTCACATTTGGGATCGGAAATTTCAGACTGTCTGCTTTCGTCAGAAAATTTCTAACTGGAAATTCTTAAAAGAAATTTCTCAAAATATTTGGCCACACGGGAATTGGGAAGCTTCTTTTGGGATTGTTTTGATATGTACTACATGGGTTTTCTGCCGAGAGCTGAGAAAAAGTTCGTTGTACTGAAAAATGTGTCGTCATGGTATTTTCATTGCAAGATTCTACAGAACCAAATGTAAAAAAAAACTGAACCCGAACGCGTTTAATCTCTGACATAACTCACTTGCGATACGGTCTCCTGTGTGGACGAGCAAGCTTCGCTTTCGATAAGCTACGTCGTCTACCACCCGTTCTGATCGAAGTATTCTCCAAAGGAGTGGCTCTCACAGTCACGCTATCGCCGCCCGCAAGCAACATGCTCAAGACCTCCGGGTGAAGTCGTCCATGAATAGGTTCCCCATTTATATGCGTCAGCAAATCTCCTGGCCTCAAACCAGCCTCAAACGCTGGGCTTCCACAATTCACATGCTAAAAATACCGACAGACACAAGGTCAACTATGTATTTCACCAGTCTTGAGAACGTGGCAAAAGAGACCGAACGAACCTTTACGATATGATGAACCGTGTAGTAATCGGAGTTATCCCCGCAATAGACAGGGATCGCTTGCATAGTGAAGCCGAATCCCTGAGGGGATCGACGAAGAATGATGGGTGGTTTTAGACAGGATATCAAAGGGGAACCTTCACGACTAGGCGAAGGATCCCGAGAACTCGCAGTGCTGGATCCACCACCCGGGGAAGGCAACGGCTGTCCATGCACGTAACGATCATCTTCGAATAAGAAGAAGCCGAAGAAATAATTCACAATGCAAAGGAACATTCAAAAACGTCAGTACAATGTTAAACTCATAGAAATGCCATTTAGAGGAATTCGTATGCTTTTCAATGCTCAGACATTTTTGAAACTTCAAGTGATTTTCTGGGTCTAAAAAATCCCCGAAACAAAGTGCAAAAGATATTTTACCAGGTGGTATAACGAGAGATAGACCAGATGCAGAGGCACTCTTGATGATCGCAGATCGCGATACGTGCTTCATCAGTGGTGATACAGCGGATGAAGAAACTGCAGCGATTGTTGGAGTGCTGGTGATCGGGCAACTCGGCAATGATAATGAGGACGAAGATGATCCAGATGCTGCGTATCCTTGGCTTTGCTGCTGTTGGGCACCAGGAGTGCCCGTTGACACGGAACGTTTCACAGCTGCTGATTCCTCACCTGTCAAAAAAGATCGTTCTTCACGTTCATCTCATACTTTCTAGAAATCCCCAAGGACATCAATGAAAAACCCATCAACAGAGATTATCATTCCCATAAAAAAAATCGACCGTGTCTCAGTTCTTATACGCTAAAAACATATGAAGGGTATCTGGGTTCTCAAGGGTGATGATTGAATCCTAAAAAATAATATGTCAAGACATACAGTAATTTGGGTTCCTGAGGTGCCTAAAGAAATGATAGTCTCAATCTTTCGTGGACAGATTTGAAATATTGGCTCAGATGATCTTCCCCGTCGAAGAATTTTAATGGTACTGACGAGTCATAATAAAGCAAGTATACTCTCTCTACGGAGATGCCTTCAACGACGATTTTCTCTGTACTGTACAACGATATTTTTTGGGGGGTTGCGTAGAGCTCTCGCCCATGTTATATGGGTTTCCAACAACGATATTCTCTCGAAGGAGAATATCGTTGTCCCTCGACAACGAAATTCCCTTGAATTTCATTGTCGAGGAAGTTCACCTGTATGCGACATACAGTACTTCCAAAAATATGTCAGATGTTAAATAAATGTTCGATAATACAGCTTAAATTTTCCTGGTCAGAAACAATGACCATCATCCTCAGTCAGGAGAATTATTAATTTCCGCCTATCTCAATAAGTACAACGTGAACGCAATTCAGACGAACAATAATATCTGCAAAAATTCCGAAAATGAGGAGTCCTCAAGGCTCTCACCGGACGTTGCAAGAGGAGAAGTAGTATTATGCGCAATAGGCGGAGTGGAAGGAGCAGATAAACTGTGTCGCTTAAGATGCATGCCATATGGGGCTGAAGGTCGGGTGACACCCTCCGAAGATTTTGTTGGCGGGGTTCCACTTTTGGAACAAACCGCGTTGACCTGAAAATTCAAAAACATATTTCAGAATAATTCTGCCGACACGCTTTCTTGCAGCTACCGTTCTCCACAAATTCGTTATCGCCTTCCACAAAAAAATCGGGTTAAGAACGTGATACCGCATCATGAAAACGCGGAGAACGCTTTACTTGAAGGCCTCAGAAAATTCGAGTTATGGCTGTTTGAGAGGAAAAGCCTGCGACTTGAGAGGTTTTTAATGGAATTCACACGTGGACTTGAAAAAATTCGACTTAGGAAGGTTCGAGTGTATAACGCGCACCTAAAGTTAAAAGTTTTTTTAAAATTCATACCCGACTATGTTGCCCACCCATTTTTACTCTAAATTTTTATGAAAAAAAAAAAAAAATCTCTAAATTTATAAAAAAAAAATTTTTGCGCGAGGCGTCGTGGTACTCGAGTAAATATGGTATTTGAACATTTAGTACCTTCCGCGTGCGCCTTTGCACTAAAGGCGACGCCTCTTCTCCTTCCGTCTGGCTGGATTCCGGAGTACTAAAACCAGTCACACCACCGCTGTTCGCCACCGAACCTGAACCGTCTACTCCAGAGCGGTGCGTCACGGCGGACGATGATGATGATGAAAAGGAAGACCGACTAGCCCCTCCAGTGTCCCTCTTATCCAGTGGCGAATCGGTGAATGACTCTGGACCCGAGTTATCCGAATCCGGTCTCATCCACCGCTTGTATCGCGGCGAGCACGAGGAGAATGACGAGAACATGAGTGATTCGTCAGCATCGTCCGTGTCCTCCGTCATGTGGTTGTAACGATCTGTTCGTGCTGTTGAAAGAAAGAATTCGTCGATTATACTGTATCATGATATCGCAAAAAGACGGATGGGATACAATTTCCTCAACATTAGAACGATCTTTTTAATAATCTAAGAGGTTCAAAATCTTGCTCGAAATAGTTTCATAACATTAGTTCATATCGCCTTTGTGATGTAAATAGAGATAACCACAGTACTTCTCATCTTCCACAACTCGTGAAGTTCTCGGCTTTCAGTCACATCAAAAGACACAAAATATCCCAAAATGTAAAGGGTCAAATGTCGCAGAAAGCGTTTCTCAAGACGAATACATTGTAAATATTTTACTAGTCATTCATTTTCTCGAGGAAACTACAGAAAAAGGGGTTTGCGATCTAAACTAGACATATTCAGGCATACATCGCACTGACGAAGAATGCGGCCAATCTTCCAGTTATCCCTCAGAATCGTAAGGATTCCGAGATATTATCTCTCTTTGAAAGAGAGAATATCTGGAAAATTAAAAATAGCAAAAAGCTAATTATTATTCGGCTGACAAACAACCAATTCTTATACCATAGCAAGGTGATCCTCTTGAGTATGAGCAATTCCCTGAAAATTCGACAAAAAAAAAAACAGATCACCTCACTCATTCGAAAACAGCTTTTTCCTCAAAAATGTTCGATGGACTGTATGGTCGCCCCCCCCCCCCCAAACATGGCTGCCATAAACAATGATGCATTCTTCAATCGCATAAATGCTGTCAAAATAACTGATACAATAACTACAACTTCTCTAAAGAGGAAATCTAACGGAATAAAATTCAGGGGAGTCTGGCTGTATAGGAGAAAACTGATTCCGCAGACAATGAACGATTAGAAAATAGGATATTCAGCAAAGATGAATAAAGCAAGAAAAACTCACTGTCGAAGTAAGAAGTGTCTTCGTCGCCTTCCAACTGCGGGACAAAAGCAGCCTTCTGTCGCAAGACAGAGTCCCAGTCAAGCTCAGCAAAGAATGGGTGTGCCTTGACTTCCACAGCCCCTCCAGTACCCAGTCGTTCGATGGGACTCAAGCACAGAAGCTCCGTTATCAGCGCCTTGGCTTGAGCATCCACTGGCCAGTCGTCCTCCTCTGGCCACTCAATCTCGGCTGTAAGGCATGAAGGAAACAATCAACGAGATTATCGACAAACGAATTACGGAATAAAAAAAATAATGTAATGCATGGTATGACGACACGTACCCGAAACAGTGTGCGCGAACAACTCCTCTGGCGTCTCACCGAAAAATGGAACACAGCCGGTGAGAAACTCATACAAAATGATGCCCATGGCCCACCAGTCCACAGCCTTGCCGTACCCTTGCCTAATAAAACCAATCATAGATTCATTCAAAACATTGAAGAGCTCCTGAAAAAGCTATAGACATACCTCAAAATAACTTCAGGGGCAATATATTCCGGCGTTCCGAACACTTGTTGATCTTCAAATTGCCGTGCTTCTCTATCCAAATACCCTTCGTACAAATTTGTCGCCACTACAAAAGATCAAAAACTTTTATTTACAATGCCCCGATCATGGGTTCAGATCCAAGGTACTTACACGACATGAGACCCATTTTGCTTAGTCCAAAGTCCGTGAGTTTGATGTGGCCCAGTGCCGTAACAAGCAAACTAAAAAAATTTAATATTTTATTTCGTACTCGAAAAACTCACGCTAAAACAGTAAATGTGATATTTTTAATTGGTGGGGAAGAGAATGAGCTTATTCTTGTGCGATACGCACGCGAAATTTTTGGTGAGGAAGAATTTCAGAGGAAATTGGATTAGTTCAAAATCCCAGGAACAGCTAATCTCGGTCAATCTTCAAGATACTAAGTTTTGTTCCACTCAATTTTTTAATACTGTACCGTGAAAACCACGAAGTAAGTCAGTCACACTCAAGCCTTCTTTTTTCCATTTTTCGTTTATGCACAACTTCAGAGTGTAAGTGAACTATTTTCATGAATTATTTGTATAAGAAAAAACGTCGTCGAATAAATCTGCGAAAATTTTTCTCAAGAACTTTCAGGATTACTCTCACACATAATTTTGATGAATGAGGAGCGATCGATACCATGCTGACGTAACCAGAAAGGGACGAAATACTCATCATGTGGGAAAGTTCGGGCAAAGATATGGTAACTCACTTGTCTGGTTTGAGGTCACGGTGAACGATACCGTATGAGTGTAGGTACTCGACAGCCAGGACGGTCTCGGCGAAATAGAACCTCGCCATATCAAGCGGAAAAGGCCCCATGTTTTTCAACAACGTAGCGCAGTCACCACCTTCCACGTATTCCATGACCATACACAAGTGTTTCTGCATTGGAAAAATGGGAAAAAATTAATAAAATAAAAATACGGCCGACCAAACACCATGGCACAGTTGAGATTTTCTACACTTTCATAACATGCTCAAAAATCCAGCCGGAATTTACCTTCGTTTCAAAAGAGCAGTACATTGAAACGACGAAGGGATTATCCGTGAAGCTCATGATATCCCGCTCCGCAAACACTTGATCCACTTGGTTCCTGAGAATCACGTTATTCTTGTTGATCTTCTTCAAGGCAAACAGCTGTCGTGTTTCTTTTTCCCTAACTAGGTAAACTGCTCCATAAGCTCCGTTGCTGACGAGCTTCAGCTCTTCATAGTCCTCTTCCATTGGCGGACTGCGACCACTAGCGTGCACGCTCTTGGTCTTTCCCTTGGATTTTGATTTCTTGCCACGAGTCTTGGACTTCTCCCCCGACTCTTGATCATTCTTAGCTGTCTTTTCATCTTCCTCCTCCTCTTCCTCGTCTACAGACTCGTCGTCTTGTTGTTCGTCTTCATTTGCTTCTGCGTCGCTAGCCGCTTCACCGGATTCAAGAAGCGACTCTCTTTCAGCATCCTTTTGAAGTTGTTGAAGATCTTGTTGAAACTCTGCGAAAAATGTGATATAACATCAAGCCACAACACTGGAAACAGCAAAACTCGACAGCACTTCCAGACACTCGTTCATTCTTTGAAAATGCGAAGAAGAAAGAATCGAGGAATGAACTTAGGAAATGTTAGAGCATAGAAGTCACAACCAATACTTCTTCTAAGCGAAGTGCGTCAAGTTTCAGCACGAGAACAACGTAGGTCAGAAGCACACCCATCACTAGGTGACTAGGGTGACAGTGGTCTTGAAGAGAATGTACAAAAAGTTGCCATTAGCAAATTATACTCTAAATAACTTTTGAAAATTGTTTCCATTGTAATGAGTAACTGTTTTATAATGTACAGACGTCACTGGCACTAACGATGGAAATTTCATTTCAAAATGAGACATCTTGAATTCCTTCCTCTTCCCTTGCGTGTGGATGAACAGGGCAACAATAAGGAATACATCATTCCATTCCTAGTCCAGCTCAAAAAATAATAATCTAGCATTTATTTTACTTGAAGCAAGAACTTTGAAGCATTATCAATCTATCATATTCATCGAATTGACAAATTTCTGGCTCTTCACATGAAAGTTTCAACACACAAAAATACTAGCTTGTAACTAATGTTTAGGAAAGGATGCTCTCAAAGGGAGAAACCCGGTGAAGATTTGTCCTCTCTGAAAGTCTAAATTTTTTATTTTCATTTTTTTAATCCTGAGGCAAATTTCAATGCTAAAGATCACTCTTTAATTACTTGTTTTATCTTCGATTTATTGCTATGTTCGAATTTGCGCACAAAATCATTTTATTCATAGTGTTGTGTTTTTGTGGTTCTTCCAACTAATCATTTCTTTGACTTATTTTTCTGAGCAATTAATTATTGATTGACAAACATAAGTTCAAGGTGACTCCTTGAAAACATGTTCCCAGCTGCAACCCAGCCGATTGCGGGTGTTCTTTTATTCCACTGCGCCTTTGTCTTCTGCTCTTTTTTTGAGATATGCTAATACAGTACCTAAAAATTTACCGGAACCTTTTTTTAGATATTCTTCACGCTTTAGGCCAACTTAAGACTTGCTTCCGGTGAGGGAATTTTAGAACATGAAGAATCACAGAAAAGTAATCGGTTAGAGCTGCTAATCTTGATTCTCAGTTCGACGCAATTCATTTGAAGAACTTTTCTCACCTTCCAGTGGATCCTTGTTTAGGCCCAGCTTAGAGATTATATAACGCGGAATTTCACTCTTCGAGCAGCACGCAGTCCCAATTTCAGCCGACATTTTTGCATGACCCTCAGCTTGTTCCAGAAGCCGGTAAAATTCTTCCGGGTCAAACTCCAAACACTCCAACAGCCGCGCAGGTCGGGCCATAATTATCATTAGCTTCTTCACCAGGCCAGACAAATGCACAGCGGCTTCGGCTGATTTTTCTCGCGTCTCGCATAATAGCCGGTCTAAGTTCTCGCTTAGCTCGTAGAAATAGTGCGAAGTGACACGCTTCTCTTGCGACTTTTGAAGGCAGTCCTTGGCGAGCTCAATCACCTGGTGGTGAACGAACCGCAGAATACCATCTGAGATGTCCTCGCCCGAGTTCTCGTCGAGAAAATCTTGCAGCCGCTCCTCCATCTGCTGGGTTGCTTTCGGGAACCGCTCACGGTAGAGCTCGTTCATTAGCACTATCTCCGATCCGGATTCCATGACCGGTGACCGTATTGGGCTGCTGCTCGAAACGAGAGAATGGTATAAAAACATTATCCATCATGGCCATTTGCAAATTAATGCCCCGAAACATTCCAGAACCCCACTTCGATATATACAGTAGTACAATACACTATACATCCACTTGCATCAATATTTTCACTCCAACTGCGCTTCATTGGAATTAATGTCCAGCAGACACGAAAAGAACGGTCCCATTTGCACGAGATTTTTAATTGCAAAAATTCTGCAGACGGGGAGAAAAATATACTGTTTGGGCAGATTTTTCAAAAACTTTCACATTTGTGCTCAACGCGAGGGAGGGAGGAAAAAAAACAAGAAGAGCGTAGGATATTGAGATACTTTTGAACACAATTTTTGACCAGATAACCCTTTTGATCATAATGAAACATGTGATATTGGTTGCATTCCAAATATATATAAAGGGACAAAAACCGCACCATTCGACCTGTCCGAAAGCAGAAAGTGCAACAAATCTTATGGTGAATTTTTGAGGGAAAAAAGCGGCCCCATGATCACTTGGGTGTGGAATACTCACATTTCTTTCTTTGAACATACCGCCTTTACGTGAATACAGAAGCATCCTTCTAGATTTTCATGCACAAAATTGAAAGTCTAATATGTGAAAATACGGTAAGCACCCAATTACTTTTCTCGTGTTCTGACTTTCCCGACTAAATTTACGTTTCATCCCTGAAGAATAAAAACGGCGTTGCTCAACCCTTCATTTCCCCTCTTCACTCAACGACTTATGTATCTTCAAGTGCGAAAAGCTCAACATTTTTTAAAAATGATTTTTAACTTGAACTCCAAAATAACTGAAGAAAAGAAGTGCTCGATCTTCAGTGGGCCGCTAACGGGTATATTTCATATTTACACACATTCAAAAAGATTGCACGAATATACGAATAAAAGTACCCCCCTAGATTTGTCGAGCTTCTGAAGTCTAAACATAAGGGGGCTTATTTATATTCGCGTGCATACTGTAATTTGAAAATCAACAAACCTCAGACTCCTGGATCTCGGTCGCATGCCAGGTGACGACATGGCCGACAAAATCGGCGACCTGCGCCCGTCTTCCATGACCCCGAGCTCAATCGACGGGTTCGACTCGTTGGACGAAAAACACAACGTCCCAGTGCCACTGGCACTCGAATGCTGCATCGACAATTCGCACATATTCGCGCAACAGCAGCATTCCACCACTGGAGCAGTGGCTCCCGGATGCAAGCTCTGTTGCTGAGGCCCGATTGCGCCGGAAGTCGGCGACGGTGGAGGTGGTGGTAGCGGATGTTGGTGGTGAGAATGATGCTGATGGTGAAGTCGTTCTTGCGAAGAACATTGCGACTAGACAAAATAAATGGGGGGAAAATATAAAATTTATCAAAACCCGAACAGCAACGAGACTTCCTAAATTTTAATCCCATTGACGAGGAGTATCCACGTGATTCTTAGCCATGGCGGGGAAAAAAACAGAGGTTAAGATTTGATCTAGTTGAACAAGTTCCACGTGACCTTTTCTTTTCTCATTTGTCTGATTTTTACAGCAACATTTAAAAAAGCATCGGGGTTCACAGGTGTGGTTCAGAGGCATTCTCAAATAGGCCAAATGGTGTAAATTTTTGAAGAAAGCATCAAACTCGTTATACACATCAAAAAACGTTCTTTTATTTTAGTTTTCTGCAGTTTTGCGCGTTTCCGAAAAGTCTTAGTTTTCAATAACCCGACAACAAGGGGATGAAAGGCTATTTCAACATAGAACATTTCTCCATCAGAAAATTTATAAAACTCCGATACAATCTACGATTCTACGTCATACGAAATTTCGATCAGCGGAGTATTCTCAGTGATTTTAGAAAAGCAAAACCCCTTTGATATCTTTTATAATTTACGAACATCTGAGATTCACTGAAGACGCACACAGAACGAAGGACACTCAAAAAAAAAAAAAATGTAACGATCAAATTTAATCTTGCTCCTTGTTCAAAAGTATAAAATTTAATTTTTTAAAAAGAAAGACTAGTCCTTTTCTAGAACAGCAAAAATATATTCGAAAACCAATTAAAAAACGAAAATCACGATTAATTTCATCATCCTTTCCCATTCGTTCTGAAGAAGGAAAAGTGCGATTGCAAACTCACAGAAACTGCAGAGCTTCCTGGGGTTGTCCCATATCCCGAGGAGGGCAAAGAAGCCACCGACCATCTACGACCCTCAGCCCGCTTCACTGAGGAGAAGGCGAAGTGTTGTTGACTCGGCGACATGTTCCGGGGGCTTTCCAACGGGCTTCCTGTAATGATGACACTTGATTGAAAACCTTTCACGAGAGAAAACATACATTTTCGGAAATACAGTATTGCATCCCACCCGAGAAAATAAGCGTTCATGTCAACGAAATGCAAATGATTTCGCTAGTTTTGCAGGGTGGAGACGGATAGAGCAGAAGGATTTTCGAACATTTCTCCCAACTAAATTGTCGTCGCCGATACTGTCTTGAGTTGAAAGTATGGCCTCAGCAGCATTTGTATGACCATCGTACGCATTATCAAATAACGACTCATAAAAAATGTTCTACGTCACATTCGTTTTCTGTGTCCGAAAATTTCACATAATATCATTGAATGACCGTCGACAGGTACAGTATAGTGGAGTGTCCCTGCATCGCACTACCAGAACATTTTCCCAAGAATAAATGGAAGAGAAGAGAATTCAGATTGCAGAATTAAGAGTGAACGGAGATTTGACAAACCTCGCTCTGAAATCTGAGCTGAGGATAAAAAGGGCAGCTCAAGCTGATAGGTACGACAGACAAAAATGATCAGTTTTTCTCACGTTCGAACAAGACTGGAACTACGGAAATACACAGAAACTAGCCGAATCTAGATGCAAAGTTAAAATTTTTCATTCGTACAGTACTTTCTTTAGAACGTCCGTGGTGGTCATATTAGTGCAACTGAACTCCAATTTTTAATTGTTTCTTATCTCGAAGTCTAGGCGGTGAATATAAAATTTCGACGCGCTTTCAAAAAAATCTTACAACTTTTTCCTCGTTCACCCTAAATAAGCACTTTATCATCTGCGAAGGAATTTAAATGGAAAGTTGATATTGGGCAAGTAATTTCGCCGATTACGGTATTCCCGATAGATAGCATACCGTAATTAAATTCAGCAATTTTAATAACAGAATGTTTCTCGACACAAAATTTCTACTCACCATGGGAACCCGGAGAATGTCGCCTCGGTAATGTTGGCGAAGTTGCCGCGATGAAAGACTTCCGGTGTGCGACTCTGGTACTTCGGTTGCATCTTCCCGAAAGGTTCAGTTCCTTCTGTTGATACATAAATAAGAAGAAAATATTCATGAGAAGCCCTCGAAAAGTTTTATTTCACGAAGATCTAATTATTTTAAGTTCCATTTCCTCCTCTCAAAATTCAATCAAAAAACGTTCGGAGGGCCAAGTAATGAACATTGGACCAAAAATGGTGCAATCCATGATACATTCCCGTCCCCACCATCGATGAAATTTCAGAGATAATGAACGAATGCCGCCTCATCATCATTTCACTTCAGCGAAAGATCATCAGAAAACGCATTCAATCCATTCATCCGCAATAATAAAAAAAAATATTCCTCTTTGATTCTCCAAGTCCAGCAATTGGATACGGCCAATGTACTCAATTATGGCGCACACATGAACCAGCGTCGCACACAATTCACAGGAAAAGGCAGCATTAAATTACCAACCGCGAATGGGTAATAAAAAAAAAACCAAGAGAAACGTGAAAGTTCATCATTTACCAGCCAGGAAAACTTGGGAACGAGTGCTGGGAAGCTTCCAAATGGTTCAATGGATCGCCTCGCGCTCCGTCGCGTCCTGAGATCATCACTCATCGTTTTCCACCCACTCACTTCCCCGTCACTGTAATCATCACAGATTGAATCCTCGTTCGTCCGGACACCACCTTCCGCGTATACGGGGCACATGCACACTGTTCAAACGAATACGTGGGCAACTATACGGACTCGGGTAATCATTCACGGGATTCTGGGAACGTTGACATCCGCTGGATTCATCGGGTTTCGTGAGGCAACTTTCTTTGGAGTCGAGTCTCGAGAACGTCTTCGAGGAGTGGTCGCAAAGGTCACTCCAGTCTTTCGATCATGTTTTTACAATACAGGATCACTGTATTTCCACTGCACCTCGAAGATTCACGAGCTCTGATTTCAATCTTTTCCAAGATGCTGACTTGAACTTGACGGATTAAAAAAATGCGCAAGTCTCCATAGAATTTTATCCTGATACGGCTATAGCTGTACAACCTCAAAAACACGAAATATAATCTCTTTATGAGTCTAAAACGAACAATAGCTTACAACGAAGTAGTTTTTTAGGTCTCTGTAGCAAAGGTAAATTTTATTTACCTTCATCACATTTTTCACAACGAAGTTATAATACTGGCTTCGTTATTAGATTTTACTGTATGACGAATCATAGCTTAGAACGATTTTTTTGTCGTTGTCGAATAGCCACAACGTTATTTTAATTTTGTTAGAACGGTTTTTTAGTTCATAATGAAGCTTGCTTAAGGTCCTAAACGCCTCGTAACAAGATTCTACTCTACACCTCACGTTACTGTTCGTATATAAACGTCCGAAATACTGTTCTTCACGCAACGACTTCAGGTCTTCAGCAGAATTCATACATGGGATGCTAAAGGGTTTGTCATTTTGTTTTCAATATGAGAAAATTATGGCCCATTTTTCCTAGCCCACCCAGGTACAGCGTACAGTACTTCGACTACAGTATCTCAGAAGAAAACACGATTTTCAAAATATTCAACTGAACGTCGAGGCGGTTTGACTTCCGATTCAGTTTCCTTAGCAATGAAAAAAAATTCAAGCATATGTACTGTATCCAGTAATACAATGCAACTGCTTTAGGGCTTGAATTTTCTGTTTGCCCTCCAGGAAAGTAAACCCGCAAGACTCCCCTCAAGCGCTTAATATTCAGTGAGATCGTATTCACGCTTTCTGACGGTTTCAACTGTGAATAACTCGAGAGAAATTCCATTCACGAGGAAGTTCGTTACGTCTAAGGAAGGGGAAAACACGGAGTGCCTCTGGGCAACCGTATAAGTTTCCACACAAAAAAGCTACACAGCACGAAAGTCGCTAAAAAAAGCATAAATATGTAGAGGGTATAGACCCTCCACATATTTCCTCCACGGTGATTTGCTCTACGCAACGATTATTCTGATCCTTCTTTGACCTCGTACTCGTACATAATCATAGCTCTTTTGTGATTAAATTCGGTTCCTCTGAGTATCACTGTATCGCGTCTACCTCAACACAAAATTTAAAAAAATTCTCATTCAAAACGCGTGATGATATTCATGGCATTAAGACACCTAAATTCATTGCAATTGCTGTACATGAATGTCGCACAGGGTGGATTACTTATGGTAGACTTTCTCCAAGGGTATAATTTTCGTGGAACAAATTATTCGTGGTCTTGGGAACTCGCAAAATTTCGGAAAATGCACGAGCTGCTCTGGCTGATATCATTCCTTATCTTCATTTTTCCCATGGTACCCTGATCGCTAATGTGCATTGAGTCCATCAGGCCATCAGATGAATATGCTGTGGTACCTCATTCAACGAAACTCACATCAACAAACAACGCAGGCAACAATAATAAAGGGCAGAAATGCTTCGATTCCCATGGTAATCGTGTCAACCGAAACACTAGACGAACATGCAGTGGTTCCTCATTATATTCATTTAACGAAGTCTTTCATGAACGAAGGCAAAAATCGAGCACAAATACAGTACTGTACTTCGAACTACGGACAGCAATAACATAACGAATAACATTCACAGGTAACTCATTCGTCCATTATACTGTATTCACCAAAAAAGCTTCTGGTGAAGATACAAGATATATCTCTTCGTCAAGTGTGAAGTTTGCGACACCAACAGTAATCATGAGGATTTAAAAACAAAACGAAGTCCCCTTCGCGTCAAGAACCTAGCGCGATTTTTGCTTCGATACTTTCCTCCTCAGAACCCAACAAGCGACGATGACACCATGAATTTGAATGATCAACGCAAATAAACTCAACACGTCAAAGCGTGTACGAAGACCGAACCAAGAGCCACAATGCTGAGAAGAACACTTCCAAATAACGCCGAGAAAAGCCTTCTCACACACGCTTGGTGTTCACTTCACCTTACTTCACTTCACTTAACTCAACTCCGCAGCCACGTTCGCTGGGCGGGTCAGCCGCGAACTGAACAAAAGGACACTAGGGTGTGCGAGTTCAGGCAGGCCGAGCAGACAGCGAGCGAACGAGCGAGCAAAGGAGAGAGAGGGAGACCGACCGACCGAACCAAAGGCGCGAGAGTCGCTCATGTCACTTGTCTCTCCCTCTCTCTCTTGCTCCAACGCAGAGTTCGAAGGGAGTCACAAACATATGCCTGTCTCTCCCTCTCTCTTTTTTCTCTCTCAGTCAGGAAGGAAAACAAAAAAGAGTATCAAGCTGTTCTTCGGGTTCTAATAGACTTATACTTTACTGTAACAGGAATATTCAAAATATCCATACAAAGAAAAACAACTTGCAGGTAGGCTAGTGTTCGTATAACAACTGTTCTAGTGACATTTGTAAGGCATTAACAAACCAGTTCCTGCTTTCGAGTCGATGATGGATACATTGTAAAAGAGTGCTGCCCAACATACGGCCCGCGGGCCAGCTCAAGTCCGCAAACGCTCTACATTCGTCCCGCGGTCCCTTCCCTATAATTTACAAGGAGGCAGCTGCCAGTATTCAAAATATACTGCACAGGTATACAGTATTAAAATACGAAAATTCAGAAAACTCCACTCTTCAAAAATTCTACAAGGCAATGCTTGTGATTCAATGTTGGGCACTGAATTGAATTCGAAACTATTCTTTAAAAAATGGAACCTTGGGAACTTCAAAATTGTCTGCCTATTGTGGCCTAAAAGGAGCCTTCACCTCAGCCATGTGGCCCTTGGCCACATCTGCGTTGGGCAGCACTGCAGTACAAGAATCCCTCCACATTTGTACATTTAACCTCAAAGCAATTCCTCAAAAAATCACACACACGCTCTCTCTCCTTTATTCGTATGAAGATATAAGTATATTCTTGACGGTTAGCGCCCCAGACGCAAAAATTAATGACTAAAATATTTCGCGTACCACCGCTCGAAAATCATCGAAAAACTGCTGAGGGCTACACTGCCGTATTTTTGTGGCCGAGGGTCACACAGCAGAGCTGGAGAGTCCTTGCGGCCCTCACTAGAAAATAACTTGTGAGGTTCCAAATTTTCCCATTCAAATTACAAATTTCAATTTAAAATTAAACTCAGTTCTATGCATTGAATCGAAAGCATGCATGACCTGGCCTCACAGAACTTTTGACATGGTGGAGCAACATTTTGAATTTCAAAATTCATCTAACAATATATACTGTATTTCATAATGGCAGCTGCCACCTTGAAAAATACCGGGAAGGGACCATGAGATAGATGGATGAGGAGTCTCTCTGCGGGCCAGATTCGGCCCACGGGCCGCATGTTGGGCAGCACCAACTCCAACACCTCCTGCCTCTCTAAGCATCTGCTTATCGCAACCAGCAATCGTTTGGCCCTCGGCATCAAACAGCATCACAACTCACACCCGGAGAAAAACCCCCTCAGGTGTTCATAAATACTGCACAGCACAGCACAGAACTGTTCGACAAGAATTTGGGAATACTGTACAGAGCTTTAAATGGTACGCTGTCAGAAATTATTTTTTCCGCCACAAAAAAATAAAAATACGCCTGGAAGATGTTCAATGCTCCATTTACCGCTCATGTTTGGTTGATACGAAGAAATCTCTGAAGTAGAATGGTTCCCTAATACAGTATAAATCAGTATTTTTTTCCAAAACTTTACCAGCGCGTAATCATCGAGGTGGACCTATTTTCAAACGAGAATCAGACTGATGAATTACTACTGGAATGGTTGTTGTCTGCCCTGAAGCTGGGACGGACAGGTATTGTGTTATGTAATTCAAAAGGTCATGATAACACCAGCGAAATGATCCATTCGAGAGTAAGGGGAATAGTGGAAAGAAAACTTGAATATTAAAAGCTAATTTTTGCTTACTCGCTCTCATACAGGAATTACCTAGAAAATTTTTTTTTCAATAGGTCAAGCTGTGCCTGAATACATTGTATTCGGAAACATTTATGAAGGAACAACGTTTTTTCACAATTTCTCAAAATTGGTAACTTCAGGGAATCGCTGCTGCTCAGACAAAAAATCTGAAACACATTTTTAAAACGATCATAAGAACTATAGAATCATTAAAAAATTTATTTTAAAACTGCTGGAAATGATAATTCGTCAAAAATGGATACATAAATAAAAGAAATATATATATCTGCAGCAGCTCGGTTTAACTGAGTCAAGATTACGGCTTCCGGTTGATGGGAATTTCCTTTCCACAACGTTACTCCGGACTCAATCCCGAAACTTTCTCAAAGCATTCACATTTTCCGGGAGATGATCTCCCAGAACACGGATTACTCATCCAGTATTGTACAGTAACCTCAGCACATGGAAATCACGTCCATCAAAAATAACTGGAAAACTCTTTTCTTCACAATGGCGTCCCGAGTCGGAGCCTTAAAGCATTGGTAACGGATCACCTACAAATAAGACTCGTAAGCACAAACTTCACAATATTCATGAGGAAAACTAAAAGAAAAAAAAAAAGCAATGTGATGCGGATTTCAGCAACCATCAAAGCACACATGCAATATCTCAATCGATCCAATGCCTCGATGGTCGCAAAAATAGCCAACTACTGTACATGAACGTTTTACCTTATTAAAATTTTTTAAAATTCATTTTAGTCGCTAATGATGATCACGCACCCGAGTTAATCGAACAGATTGTTCGTTTCGTAATCAGC